TAATCTGATATTTTTTCACTGAGTGACATCATGTTAGAGTATGTGGTATTTTCGTAAACTGACTTTAGTCGTATATAATTGTTCACATAAAATACTATGCGCTGTAAATTTAAAATGTGAACAGTGTCTGGTATTTATCCAGGTGCAATTCAACTTTTGTTACACTATCAGTCTTCTAAAAATTTTTAATAGTCATGTTATTGACATATAGATTATTATCAATGCATGATAATCCATCTTTACAACAATGATCCCGTTCTGAAGCTGCAGTGAGTGATAGAGAATCGATCATAATATACTATCACTATGCCTTCATAAATATTAAATGAGACATGGCTTTCTAGAACAAGAAATTTTCTCACTGATCGACGCTCAAAATTTTTGATTTTCCGTCCGTGTATATACAGTGGTCTAAAATGTATTTCTATATTTTCATATATATGTTTAATTCAACTGAGCTTATGATGTCTATAGATAGAGGACTGTATGAACTACACACAGGCAATAATGCAAATACAGCAGCGCTTCTTATTGTTTTTAAATAAAATCAGTTCAGGAACTTTTTGAACGCACCTTGTAGGATCCATGTATGGTGAAATAATCCTGAAAATGAGTTTTCTGACGATTGTAACAAAAGTATCCATTTCCACTAATGTTCGATATTTGGATGATCTTGATTGAAAAACTAATCTAAGAATAGTTTATTTTCACAGACGTAAAGGTTTTTCGACGAATTCCGGATACTCCTCTTGGTTGTAGCTGCTCTCAGTTTCTAGTGAGACTATTACAAAACACGGACACAATCATGAATTCAATGGTGGTGACTTGGAATACCCTGATATCATGACAATATAGTGGCACAGGGTACCACAACACATTCGGTTAGGTTGTGACCCGTGGTGTTGCGAGGGATCACTTGAAAAAAAGCATTTTAAAAAGTCTGTTTTAACCTAATTCATTGATCAAATATTGAGGATGAACGTCATGCACCATATGCATGTCGTTGCTTAAAATCAGTAAGCGAGCGAAGTTTTGAAAATTGAAATTTATTGCAATCTATGCTTTGATTTTCTTCGTGAATAACGAAATATCGGATATATTTGACAGCTACTTATTGAGTTCAGAGTGGTAGGTCAAATCTAGAATTCACAATATCTATATCCATTTATTGATATATGCAGTACACGCATGCCTAGGTAGATACCCTATTGTATCTATATCTATAGGAAGGTTTCATTGATAGCACGTAAATCCACACGTAAATACCAGTCAAAAATATTTTTTAAGCTAACTTTCTTGTCTCATTCAAAGATAACAAACATTTTAAACTTCATTGAGCCCTATCATGGTGTTTACCAAATATCCTTCAGTATGCATGTAAATTGGTTTTAGTCACAAGTAATAAAAGACCTTAGGAGTATCATATGAGAACGTCTGAAAGATGCCCTTACTTGTCTTCTAACCAGTTCTAATAAAACAGTGCTTTGAGTTGTCACAAGTGATATAAAATATGGAAATTCGATGCTATTACATTCCTATTATCTATCATCTTGTAGACTAATGAAAATAGTAAGAGAAACGATGACTGCTGTCTAGGGTAATAACAGCGCATCGCACGGGATGACGGATTATGGCGAAATTCATTGCAGTAAATATTTTATCTTTTAATTGTGCATTGCTGTTTAGTACACTTTGCTGAGCCTCAGAATGATAGACTTCAGTGGCCCGAAGAAGCCTACAATGTTTTAACTGACGAGGGTAGTCATAATATTCAAAAGCTGATAGCAGTAAAACGTTAAGTCACAAAAGAAGGCGAACAAATATACCTGTAGAACTTATTTCCAAAAATATGTGGTCAAAGTTTTAGCTTCATCGAATAAATTTACAACTGATCATAAGCAGGGAACATTGTGAAAAATCATGTTTGCACTATCAAAAACAAAAAAACAGATTTTATGATAATTTCTACGAGAAGAGAGTGGTAAAAGTCATGTCCTATTCGCAGTAGGTTAATTTAGATCGATCAAGGTATTACACTATATGAGATACTTAGGAATATTACTTCACACGACCAACACAAAATATGATTTAATGGAAAATGGCAGAGGATAACCTTAATTCTCTAATTCTGTTTTGGTATGCGATAACATAGGCACTTTCACAGGACTTATGGATGTGTAATGCTAGCCTCCATTTATCTTTTCACGTTTCAGAAAGGGCATCCGATTATTAATGGGTATCCGAGCGTGTAACGAGAAAGTTTGATCATCTTATTAGCATATGGACGATGAAGGACATGCTGACATTTTCATCTCATCTCATCGCAGTCTAAAGTAATATCTTTCTCGTCTCCACAGATGGTAACAAGTATAGCTATACTGCTGTTGTTTATAGCAAAAGCTTTTTTAAAGAATTTTTCATTTGACTCTCGCAGGGATTGTCTTGACATATTCTTTGGTGACCTTCAAGCAATGCGTATGTTCAGTAACTCATGATAGTGCACAGGGTGAAACCGTATTTAAGGATGCGCTGTTTCAGAACTAACATTATTTAAGCCATTTTGAAATTTGAACTCACTATCGCTTTCGCATTCACGGAGGTGTACAACATGCAAGCCGCCTGGATGGTCGAGTACGTTGCTGACCACATGCAAGCGTGTGCCATGCGCAAGCAAGACTTCATTTTCATTAGAGAAACACGTATAGTCGCGCACATCCTTTCCGTTGATTGCCTCAATCAGAAACAGAGTGCTATGTGGACCGAGAAAATTCTTGATTACATCCACTGAAGACGAACATGAATTGACGGACCACCACGTGAATTGATCATCTTTCTTGAAACCACTGCTAACATCAGCGTATACACCACGCCACAAATTTATTTTGAGACTAGGCAATTTTTCTAGAGCTGCATTGAACAATTTCAGGTACGAGAACCACGGCTTCAAAGCCGGCCGATTTTCAGAACGTAGAGCTTTATTTAAAACTCGATAGAAGCTGCTCTCGCCCCATTCCATAGTATAGAGATAAATCGAAGCCGATTCATCCTGACTGAGAACGGTTGACGATTGATTACAGTGTTGTTTTGCTAATCGAATATAATTTTCAAGATTGGCAATGAGCGGCAAAATGGGCTCTAATGCCATATCCAGAGGAAGAAGAGGGCCGTCAAGATAGCCTAAAATTGGCGGAAGATTGCGTTTCGTGAGTTCGATATCAGTAAAACGAGACGCCGAGCTCATGATGTGTCACGTCTGGAAGAAAAATAAAGTGAAGTATCGGAGAATAATGCTCTTTTTGGGCTTGTTTTAAAAAATACCTTGCAGGAATCGTAGAAAAAAAAACAACGTCGCAAATCAGAAGCACGTGGGTATGTAGGTTGCACAAAAGGTAAAAATAGATGAGAAATAATGTCTCGCGTGTGAAGTAAAAGTGAAGGAAAGCATTAGAGAATCATACTCTTCTTGTATTGATTTATACGAAAAGACTTCCGAGGTTGGTTGGAACAACCAGTCTGTATAATGAAAAATATGCGGCTCAATGAGTAGGAAAAATGGAATAGGAGGGTGTGGCTGTGCCTGTGTAGGTGAGTGTTGGCGTTGATATGGGTGTGGGGTGCCAGGGTGAGTTAGTGTAGGGTGTCAGTGTGAATTAGTGTAGGGTGTAGGAGGGTGCGAGGTGTGGAGAGGATTGGTGTGAATGCAGGGGAGGGATGTAGATGTGGGTGTAGGTTGTCTTATCACGCACGCTCATAGCCACACCAAAATCCATCCCCAAACTTGCGCTGACATCCACACCGCCCACACCCACCTAATGCAAAGAGTTGAAAAGTATGGTTGTGCTATCATAGGTTCTCATTCTTTAGAGCTTCTTTTTTACATTCTGAAGGACCTGCCTATATAATTTCAGCTGTGGATGATTGGAAGGCAAGGATTGTTTGACAATATTAACAGCACGTTGATAATTTTGAGTTGCCTTCAAATATTCTCCTCTTTTTTCATACATTGCACCGACGCGGCCAGGGTGTGAGTGTAGGTGTGGGTGTGGGCGTGTGATGCGGGCGTGTGTATGGGTATGGATGCGGTTGTGAGTGCGGATCTGGGAGTTTGAACGTAGCTCTGGAACTTGGCGTGTATCTGTGTGTTTCCCTCCTCCTGTCCATGACATCTATAGCCTTCCCCCTCTCCCCCTCCCCCCTCCCCACACACACACTCACATCCACAAGCACACGCACATCCACACACCCACCCTTTGCGTTAATCTTGCTCGTATTCATTCGATTTTCCCCTGAAGCCTAACTTTATACAGAGCCAAATTTGGCCAGTACAAGCAACTTTTTGATCTCTATCCAATGGCACTCAGAAAGGATACGGAAAAGTGGACGTCATGGTCCAAAAATCGATATGAGATCGCGTTTTACTTGTTTTGGCTAAACGTTATCGATCAAGTCTGACACATAGGCTAGATATTGATCAAAACGGTTCTAGATCGTGCCGATGGCGCGTGAGGAGACACACAATAACAAATTTTCAGCTGAATTCACATGGCCACCATCTTGATTAGCTCTTTGGTCAGGAAAATATCACAAGGTAAGCTTTTCCCGTATCGCCATTCATAGCAAGTGAGAAGAAATTACACGTGAATGGAGTCTGAGATAAATCGTTTGGTAGATTCTTTTTCGTTCTCTATTAAACCTTGGGTGCTTTTTTCTTTCTTCGCTGCTAAGAAAAGAAGACGTTAGACAAGATAAGGAGAAAGAGAAACAGCTCACACTCACACCTAATATCGGAATAGCGAGGCCTTTCTCAGATACATTATCATATATATTCAAAGTATTTCTACTATCCGCGTGGTGAGTTTAGTGTATCGTTCTCTCGAACATGTGCGTGCCTTTATTATCATGAAATAAAAATGACATAGAAACGTTGAAAATAAAACCTGAATAAGAGGGAAAAGGAAGCGTTTTTATTCTTCTAGTATTTTACTCTAGATTTAACAAGTATGGCGAGTTTCGATACTACGGTAAGAGAATAATTACATTTTTTTAAAATAGACTCCATTTTTTTGTTCTACTAGCCAATTTTGTACACCTATTATCGCAGTTCCTGTTCATATCGAGTTCGAATTGGTGAGTCTATTTCAAGAAAAGAACGCATGGATTATTTATACTTTGTTGTTCATTAGCATTAAATTTGAAAAATATTCCCTATATAAGTCACTCGGTTAATACTCTCAGAGGCGAAACAGTAGGTTATTATTAATTGATTGATATTACGTACTCAGTAGTATTAAATTGATTCTTTTTAGTTAAGCGAGGAACATAAAAAACTCAATCCAAAATGTGAAATTCCTGTAAGTAAATAAAATAACTTGTTTCAGAACTTGTTTCGAAGGAGAAAATTCTTTTGAAATATTCTATAAATTAATCTAAATCTTTTACGTTTAGGTACTTATTATTGATGGAAAAAAATTTCTTCAATCTGTATGCCAATCTAAATGAAACTATAATAGTATGTCTATGCGAGTATTCTCATTTAGATTCCTATCATTGAATATATTGATGAAACATATCGAGTTCAATCTCAACTTTTACCAGAAGATTCTTATCAACGTTATCAGGTTATACAGAATGACATAAGAAGATAAGAATAGTAATAGATTTTCCATTAAATTATATTTAGGCTCGTTTAATTAGTGAAATTATTGCATCTGGTACTCAGGTATCGCTTGTTTTCTTGAATTTCTCTTATTCATTATGCCTATTTATTGTTTTTCATTCCAATCTGAAGCCGTTTCACAGCACAAGCGTTCTCAAACGTATTGGCGAAGAGAAAAACGCTGAATGGACATGTCCTTATATTAAACTAGGTCTTGATGGTAAATCAATTCATATTCAAATAAAATTTTCGGTTTAATTTCAATTTTTATTTAGCGGTAGAAAAGGCTCTTGAAGAATCAGCAGGACGATATTGTGTTGGCGATCAAATATCAATAGCTGATTGTTGTCTGGTACCTGAACTCTATTTTGCACGGCTGTATGAATTTATATTGATATAATCATGTTACCTATTCATTTCTTTTTTTGGCTACCTAGATTTAAAGTTGATTTAACTGCATATCCTATAATGACAGCTATTGAAGAAAGATTAAATGAACTTCTTGAATTCAAAGCTGCACATCCAAATCGCCAACAGGATTGTCCTGAAGAAGAAAAACTAAAATCCTAATTTAACATTCTTCCATTAGATAATCATATCTCGTTCATATTAATAATATTAAGCAAGCAAATAAACAATAAGAAGCGTAGAAAAGAAACATACAATGGGTGGGTGTAGGTGTAAGTGGAGTGGATGTGGGTGGATGTGGCTGTGGGTGTGGCTATGGGTGTGGTGGCTGTGGGTGTCTTGAGTATAGATATCAGGGATAAGAGGAGGGAAGGACATACATACACACTCAGTCCCAGAGCAACATTCACACTCCCAGACCCGACCCATGCCCACTCACACTCACACCATCGATATATAGATCAGTGAGTCCATGTTGTTTGAATTGTCTGAACAAACATAACAGCATCGATTCACTTGATAATGATGGCACAACTTCATGTTTCTTCTGAATTGATTCCATGGATAGGTTTTCTACTAGGGTGCGGGTGCAGTTGTAGGTGTGGGTGTGTGGATGTGGGTGTGGATGTGGGTGTGGGTGTGGGTGTGGGTGTGGGTGTGTGGATGTGGGTGTGGGTGTGGGTGTGGGTGTGGGTGTGGGTGTTCTTCTAATCTACCATCACATCAGAACAAATAGTGACACCTCACACCACACTCACATCCACATCCACACCAGCACCCACATCCACACCCATCCACACCCATACCCACACCCGGTGAGTGTGTAGTATGAGGGAGTGCTGGTATAATTTTGTGTTTTTGTGAACACCCATACCCTCAATATAAAATAGGCATAATCAATTAAGCGACAAAGGCTCTGACATACATATAGTTTTTCAATTGCTATATTCAAAATACTAAAATGCAACCATTTTCTTGAAAATCTAAGAGGCGAGAATCTAGAAATAATTGTACATCTAGCAATTTTCACTTGAACTGAATTTTTCTTTTATAATATTTAAATTCTAATACCCGCTTTGCATTCTATTTCAAGGGTGTGGATGTGAGTGTTCACTGAGGTCTATCTGGCACCCGCAACCACACACACCCACATCAAGACCAACATTTATACTTGGAGTTAGGTTTCGTATTTATGCTGTAGGCGGCATCGTATTAAATTATTCTCACTGAGGAGCGTAAACTTTGTCTCTTGGCCAAGAAAGCAATGACGAGAGGAGGTTTTATTTATCTTGTCTTTTACTGTTTTCTTAGATATTATGAGAAAATAACCTCATGGTGTCGTGTATTCTTATTGCATCAGTTTTTCTTTACGGTTTTATTCTTAAATATGCCTGATACTATCGTGTGGATTCTGTTTCTTATTACAATAATTAATCAAATAACATCGATTACTGCTGATAATGACAATGTGTTAAGTGGTACGATTTGTGGAATTAGTCAGACGGGAGAGGGTAGTTTTATTATAAAATGTGATGGACACGATCCGTTCACATCATGCCCTAGCGGTTATGTGCACTTTGCAGATCCATATTTTTACTATGGTTTATGTTATAAAAATGAAACAAACAAACAAAAAGGTAAAGCAGGTACTTTATGTGGTGGTTCTCCTAGCTATAAATGTGGAGGATTGGATCCTGTTTGGAATTGTCCTCATGGATATATAAAGCCACAATATCCATCGTCTGGGCGTTCATGTGTAAAATATTTCTCTGATGTAAATGATGTTGCTGGTACAATATGTGGTTGGAAAGGTTCTGGCAACTTGGCTGTGAAATGCGGAGGATATGAAATTGGTACATGCCCTCCAGGATATCAATTAAATTCTGTAACATTAAGTTGTTTTAAAGAGTAGCCTACATATATGTGAAATAAATATTTTTCGCCGTCTCTCGTTCTCGCCATAACATTAAATTTCAACACTCTAAGTGAGGGTGTGTGTGGGTGTAGGTGAGGTGTGGGTGTGAGTGTGGGTGTGGGGGTGGGGGTGGGTGTGTGTGAGGTGTGAGGTGTGGGATGGGTGGGGTGGGGTGGGGTGTGGGTGTGGGTAAGGGTCTCTTCACCTCATCCACAGCCACACCCACCCACACCCACATCCACACCCACACCCCACACCCACACCCACCCACACCCACACCCACACCCCACA